GTCACCTTGAACTACTAGGAGATCAACAGCCCACCTGCAGAAAGAAGCTATGGTTGCACAGATGAAAATAAAAATGTGAGTGTCAATTAGAAAGCTCTGAAATGGAATATGAAAGTTATCAGTCATCTAAAATGTATCAAAAGTTTGCCAACTAGTCTGTAATTCTGTAATCACAATTTATAAGGCAAGAAAATGAAAATGAATCAGCTGGAGGAAGTAATTATTCACCTTTCACAAAGATGACTTTACAGAACTATTAGGTGTCTGGTACAAGTAAACACAGAATTGCTGAATTTTGTTTCAATGACTGCTTGTGCCCTCTGCTTTTGCTTTCTGCTGTTTTCAGTACAGGAGGTCGAAATCCATGGGACCTGTCCCATTAGCACAGCCTATACACTATGAAGCAACAGGAAGCAAACTATTGCCATAAAATCAAATAAGAATGAAAGCAATAGCTAAAAGCCAGTGAAAAGGGAAGCTCTGTGGGACATTGTGTTGCACTGAACATTACAATACATGCTCTGAAAGCATTGGACTTTTTCAGCAGCACTTGTAAAACCAAGTGCTCTTTTCAGGTGAATTATTTTACATTACAAGAAATGCTCTAATAACTTGTGTGCTTAAACAAGGTTGGAAGCTGTGTGCATAGAGCTGGATAATGTCACTGACAGAGACAGATGTGGATAAAACTCTGCCAAAAGTCATCCTGAAGAAACTGGGACACACAGGAATTTTTTTGATAAGGAGAATTATTTCAGAGAAAAAAGAAAATATATATATATATATATATATATATATATATATATATATATATATATATATGCTATAATGCAAATAACACATGAATTTCTATCCTTCCACAGGCTTGGATAGGGTTAGTAACCTGTACTCAAGCATTTCAGTCGGTTAGTGGCATTACATGGTGGTAGCTGATGCCAGGGGAGGGATGTTGTAACTGAAGAGTTTGAGTTTCTCAGTTACACAGGTAAAGCCCAAAATTCAGGGACTGAAATCAGAATTGAACTCCTCTGTCCCACATATATACACTACTGTAGTTCTAAGTACCAGTTCATGTATGACTTCCTTGACAATTTGTTCAGCAGTGTAACAATTCTGTATTTACTTGCTAACAACCTGTGATTTCAGAAGACTGTGCCTGCCGTTTTTCATGCTTGCAGTATTTCCATTGTTACTGTAATCACATACATGTTTTTAGTTGCTATCAAAACTTTTGCTACTGGAAATTATCTCTTCACTAAAGTATGTGCTTTATCCACTTGACCTCCTTGCAAGAGCCAAATATATATAAATTTTTGGGCCAACATACATAAATTCAAATCTTAAAAAAGAGAAACAGGGAGCTATCACAGAGTTTTCCTAAAAGCCAGGGACAGAACCTGAAAGAAAGAAAAGTGCCACACTTCTCACTTCTCTCTGCTCCCTTGCAAAGCTTTTCTCCTGAACCTAACCTAACACAGAGCAGCTTGAGTTTGTGCCTTGATAAAAACTTGCTGTGCCCATTTCAGCTGCAGGCACTGCAGCCCTCCCAGCAGAACTCCACAGCTCCCTTTGGGCAGTAACATCCTGGGACATGGTCTTGGTACTGGGGTACAAAGGTTTGCGAATGTGAATGGATAAAAAGATGACTTCTAAGGCATTCAGCAGTAAACAGTGAATTGGTAGGTTAAGGTAGTGATGTAAATGGACTTTGGATGTAATTTCAGATTTTTATGCAGGAGGAACCTAAAAGTCACACAGGTTTTTAAAAATTACAATTTCTTAAGTTGTTTTGAAAGTGGCCTTAATGGGGATTTCCCATGGTTACTTCTTCACCTTCATGATACATTAAAAAAAAATCCTAGCCAAACACAAGCAGACAAAAACTCAGTCAATCTGAAGACCAGTCATTTTCCCGAAAAATAAAAATTTTTCAGTATAAAGGAGCCCATTTGTAGACATTCCTTTCAACACCAGATCAGGCTGGGATCTGTCTGCAGATTGTGGAATACACATAAGGAAAAAGACATTCTGGAAAACTCACAGTTTACCAATGTTTTTCATTAGTAGATTTTTTCCCCCTCTTGATATCAATCAGCTGGGATGTTTGAAGGACCTGTCAGGACTCGTTTTGGCTAGAGGTGGGCTGGAGTTTCCTAAAATCCAAATATTAAATATGGAAATAACATCCCAGCTGGCTTCAATCTTGCAGGATGTTGATTCAGATAAACAGCGTGACAAAGTGAGAAATGAGGTCAAGGCAGACACGATTCCTGCCAGCAGGATTGCAGTCTGCTTACAGTAGGAGGCCTAAACAGAGGGAAGTTAGAAATAACATAATCAGTTGCTTATCAGACCTAGGAACCAGTGTAAGTCTGATGGGACTACTGTCAGAATTCCTGTGCTTGGGAAATTCAACAGCAGTTTTGTCCCTATGAATGATTACTGTAAAAAATTATTTGAACAGCTCTTCACTCTCACTTGGCTTTGATGTGATAAACCACAGTCTGAATATGAGCAGGGATTAGATTTCAAATAAAAGCAAAATGAAGACAAAAAGCTGACACATTGGGAAGCGGCAGTTTCCAATAACCAAGACCTGGGCAAAAGAGACACCCCTTGCTGCTGCTGCATTCCCTCAGCTCCCTGCAAACGTCTGACAAGAAACAAATAGACACCTCTGGGTGGCCTCACCAGAAAACACAGTGTGGAATCAATATATCATGAGTTAGACACAACTGCTAAAATGAGCAAGTTTCCTGACAAGATCCATTTCTTTTCAGCAGACCCTGAGTCCCTGAGGTAGCCGGGAGCTATGGGGAGGCTGTGGCAGTCACAGGCTAAACCACATTTCTTTTCCTCTGTTATAGCCTGATTCCCTGGGTTGCTGGAGCATGTCCCACTGAGGCATAGGAGCAAAACTTGCAATTGGATTCTGTATTTGGCAGGTTGCCAAGGCAGAAAGCTGTGAGCTACTCATAGGGAGCCTTGCTTTCTGAGAGATATTCAAATACTCTTGAATTTTCCTTTTTCTCCATCCCCTTACGGTATTTGAGAACATCAATGTTCTACAGGATTAGGACTGGTAATCTTACCTCAAGTCTTATCAGGTTCTTACAAGAGCTATTGGGATTTTAAAGGTGTCAATTTTTGTTCCAAAGGTAACTTAGTCTTTGACATATTTAGATGGTACAAATAATTAATTATTTTTAATACCTATGGATAAATGGATAAATCCCGTTCAGTCACAAGCAGACCTTTCTTTTTTTCTTTTATTCTTTTTTCTTTTTTCTTTTTTTTTAATTTTCACAAGCATTTAAAGTGATATGTAATTAACTAGTGACCAAAGTTATAATATACCATGGACCTTCTGCAAATAAACAGAAATTCTTTGCCTTAAGTTCTAAAAAAGTCTGGTTTTTTATTTAAATCAGATTGCGAGGAGACAGATAGGGTCCAGTGGGACCTATAATTTGTCAAATATATGCAATAAATGCTGTCTCTTACAGAAATAGCCTTTTAACACAAATAAATACATCACAGAAAAGCTCAGAGCTGAGGCTTCCCGGCAAACCTCTTTGACCTTAGACCTTGATCTACAAAGGTACTGCTGCTGTGGACAAAAGCTAATGCCCAAGGGATGCCCAGGAGTGGCCACTTCAGCAGGAGGATAAGAAAAGGCCCTAGAGGAGGGCTGTCCCTTTTAGAGAAATTCTGCCATCAGCACGGTGACAACGACATGCCCACAGTCTGACATCACTCCTCACCCTCACACAGGGGCCTGCCAGCAGAGAAGAGCACATCTCAGCTTCCTTCTGCCAGCCCACCACTGTGGTGGGTCACTCTGGAGCCTCTGACAAGAGTTGTTTGGTAGCTTGTTTGCAAAATGAAGGAAAACTTCTGCTCATTTGTTCACCTGCCTTGTCTGCTGTTTCTGAAGGCAACACCTCTGAGCAGTCTCTAAAGTAACAGAGAGGAGATGGCTTGTTCTCTTTACTGCTCTTCCCCTTTTTCTCTGACCACTGTCATCTTGCTACATTATTTCTAGTTTCTAGGACTTTAGTTCTTCCACAGTGTTCCATTTCTTACCTTTCCCCAAATAAACTGGATTATATTTCATGTTCCCTATAAGCCACTGGATATGCTTAGCGTAGACATAGTCAGCCACAGACATAGCTGAATTTCTTCAAGGGAAGAAAGATTAATTCTAGCCTCAAGGACTTTGTATTTATAAGTGTAAACTTTAGTGAAAGCACTAATTCAAATAAGGCCTGATTGCGCGGGGGCGTGAACGGCCCTGGAATCCGGCTATCTGGTGAGGGGCGAAGGCCAGGGCCCCTGCGCATCAGAAAACAGCCCCCCTCGGCGTCTTTTGGCCTCGGGCTGAGCTGGGGGATAGCTCGGAGCAGCGCGGTGAGAGAC